ACCCTTTTTAAAAAAAAAAAAAAAAAAAAAAAGACATTGGAACACACAGGAAGAGTCTGGGAAGGACTAGCGATATCTTGGCCATCCCAGCCTGACCCTATGGCCCCTAGGAACCTGAGTACTTTATCCTGCCCACAAATGGGGACATCCACAACTGGGGATCTGCTCAGCAGCCCCCCTGCCTTACAGTTACATGACAGTGCTGTTTTATTTGAACAACGTCACCGGTGGGGGCGAGACTGTCTTCCCTGTAGCAGACAACAGAACCTACGATGAAATGGTAAGGGACAACGGGCTATTACTTTTTGGGGCTGGCAGGGCCTTGGGCAAGTGTAGTAATACCCCTCCATTCTTGGGACTGAGGGTACACCTGGCTGTTTTCCCTCTGGCTACCTTTGGCTGTCTGGCCATATAATGGCAGGCAGTCTGAAAGCTTCATCACCGTGTTGCCCACAGAGTTTGATTCAGGATGACATTGATCTTCGTGACACCCGAAGGCACTGTGACAAGGGAAACTTGCGTGTCAAGCCCCAGCAAGGAACAGCAGTCTTTTGGTACAACTACCTGCCTGATGGGCAAGGTGAGCCCTTATGACCAGATCATGGGCTTCTCCAAGGGTAGCTTCTCCTTACCAGTTCCCTGGAGGACTGTTTCTATCTGCTTTCCAAATAGTTTTCTGCCACCAGTGCCTCCTTTTGAACACCATCTTTTAAGTAATTTCAATAGGCCACAACATCACCTGTACAGCCTTTTTGGGCTATCTGGACTCATCTTCCTCCTGCCTCAGCCTTCCTTGTCTCCAGGGCCAGGGCCACTTCTCTTACCAACCCAGGCTGGGAAATGCTATGGTCAGGCTCAGCAACAAGAAAGCTGGTTTCAGAGGGCCAGTGTGTTAACCATCCATGCCTTAGTGGATGAGATGCTGAGGCCTTTCTTGGGAGTCAGCCGTTTGCTTAGTTCAGGGTTGCCCAACCTAGGATCCCCCCTAAACCTGTTCTTTGCTCACTCAACTTTCTTCCTCTAGGTTGGGTGGGTGAAGTGGATGACTACTCGTTGCACGGGGGCTGCCTGGTTACGCGTGGCACTAAATGGATTGCCAACAACTGGATCAACGTGGACCCCAGCCGGGCACGGCAAGCTTTGTTCCAGCAGGAGATGGCTCGTTTGGCCCGGGAAGGTGGCGCCGACTCGCAGCCCGAGTGGGCCTTGGACCGAGCATACCGTGATGCACGCGTGGAGCTTTGAGAGGGAGGGTCAGATGCGAGTCGCCCGCTGCCCAACGTCGAGGGCCCTGCTGATCCCTCTGTCCTATTGCAGACTAAAGTTCTGGCCGTTATCTTGTCCTATCGCTGCCTGCGGCCGCGGTTAACCCACAGTTCCTATATTCACTGTATTTATTTGTACAGCCTCCATACTGCTCGGTCAAATAAAACCACAGGTCTTGGTGAAGGGACCGAGGAGCTGCACGCCGCCGTGGGGGAGGGGAAGCCCGCTGCGCCCCCCTCCCCTCC